CGAGCCTGGGATATGGATACAGTGTGCAGTTAGAGAGAAACTTAATTGGAAAGAGGCACCTCATGTAGTGGGGAGTGGTTCACAGTTTAAAGCTTGCGATGATTGTTTCAGATGAGCAGTGATATTAAAGTATCTTTCTCAGTGATTTGATCAAAGGAATAAACATTTATTCCATGTTCAGAGAGCTTCTTAGAATGTTTAAGGAAAAAAATCCATCTTGTTGATTATAGTTGTCTAAAACTGACAATCAAAGTATATAATCGGACAATAGGAATGGAAATTAAGGAGCCTGTAGTGACTGCCAGTGGGTAGAGAACCCAAGACGAAATGATGATGAACAATCTAATTAAATCGCTGGGCCGAAGCCAAGAATCTCAAACTAGGGATCCCGTCCCAGAAATGGAAGTAAGCCTCAGTTTTATGATCCCTGGATAAACCCAGGAACTATATCTGAATCTTCCAGGACCTTCAAAGGACATTGTTAGGTTGCAACTTCTCAGCAAACATTTATGATTTGAATGAACGTCAAGAGCTAAAAGGAAATTGTAGTGAGACGTGTCCTTTTCTTTTCTCGGCAGCCTTGGATTCACACAGAACCTGGCCAATTTCTTCCAGTGTGGCTGCTTTGGCTTGGTGAAGCCCTGTATGGTGGACTGGACGTCACAGTACAACATGGTCTTTCACCCAGCCAAAGAGAAAGTTCTGCGCTCGGTTTGAAGAAAAGCACCCAGATGCTCACGCAGATGTTTTTATTATTATTGGTAATGATGCCTTGTGGTCTGAAAGTGAAGATTTAGAATTCACTAAGTCCAAAGGAAAACGTGGGTGGTTTTAAAGGCCACTTGGAGAAAAGTTCTTGAGAAAGGCATTGCATTGATTTAGAATTAACAAGATGGACAATCTTGGCACACATCTGAAAATTTTTATATTTTTCCACTAGAAAATGCGAGTTTGTTTTGTTTTTTTAGGTAATATACCCTAATTATGGATAAAATGAAGTATTTTTCTGAAGCTGTATTGGCTGTTTTAAAATAGTTCTATTCTTTAAACTTGTAAATTTTGATAAATTATTTGTCTTTGTTATATCTATAAATATGTAAACATATATTTAAATAGCTGTGTCTGTTTAGCTTTCATGCAATAAATTTTTTTTTTAGTTAAGGTTTAGTTTATGACACAAAACACAGAATTAAAAAAAAATTATATCTGGATCATAAAGAAGTGACTCACCATTCCTGGAATGAGTAGTTTGCTGTTGACACTAATAAGCAAGACTTAACTTTGTCTTACTTAGAAACAGAAAGTCTTAAAAGTGGTCACTGGTTCTACTTCCTGTTGTTGCTGGGTGCTGTCTGGCTGTGTCTGAGTTGTCGTGACCCACGTACAGTGGATTTTAGCCCTCTGCATCCTGCACCAGCTGCATGGTCTGCTGTGCTTATGCCACTGTTGCAATCACTGAATCAGTCCGTCTTATGGAGGCTCTACCTTAATACCCTCAAAAAAAACCCAAACCAGTAGAGTGGCTGTAATTGCTAATTTCCCTTGCTGCAGCAGAAGAAATACTAATTTAGTTTTGAAATAGGATATGTAAATAGTATGTATATTTTTGTGGGTACCCTTTGCTGTCAAGGTAAGATCTAGAACTGCATCAAGACCCTGAAGGATTAAAAAAAGACCCTGAATGATATGATCCTGTTTTGTTCATCAGTCTCACTGAAACTACACTTCATCCCCTGATGATACTAATGTTCACTTGCTCAAAGATCCATTCTCTTTTCTTCTTCAAAGATAAGGAAATTAAAGGTCACATAGGTACTAAATGGGATGGCCATTCCTGGGTCACATTTCATACCTATATTCCAGCACTTCTGATTTATGCATAATATAGAAACACATTTCACTCATTTTTAAACTATTCCCCAAATATTTATTGACATCATGATAGAATGTGGAGATCATATTTAATAGGTATGCTAGTTGTGGGGCTTACAGTCTAGGGAGAAACTAAGATAAACGAAACGGCAATAACTAGAGTAAGAAATCTGAAAAATCCTAAGAGGTGTTGGAGGTTAGAGGTTTTGGAGGATATGATTAGAGAAATGTTCATGGAAGATAAAGCATCGGAAAGGACCTTCCCCATATTGTTTGCTGAATCTGGAAATAAGAGTTGGAAACAAAAGACATTCTCATGGAGGGAACTATATGAGTCAAATCAAAGCTGGGAAAGCCTATTCAGAATCAAGAATGGCTGGGTCTGCAGGATGCTTGAAGTGAGAAGCTTGGTTAATAGGTTAGAAAGCTGGGTTCAGACCAAATCACCATAGGCCCTGAATGTTGCACTAAACAGCTATTACTTTACTCCCCTCACAGTAGAAGTCATCTTGCCAAAGTTGTGTGTAGTCATTGTCTCTAATTTCTTGTCCTGTTAATCTTTAACCCTCCTGCAGTCAGGCCTTCCACCCCGAAGCACTCGTGGGAACTGCTCTCATCAAGCACAGCAGTGCTGCTAAAGTCAGTGGTCAGTTTTGAGTCTTCACTTTACGTAACCTGCCAGCATTGTTGGACCCTTTATCACATCCCCATCCTTAATACACTTTTCTTCCATGTCATCTAGGAAACCTCCCTCACTCCTGAGTTTCTCCTAATCTCACCAGTGACTCCCTAATTGCCTTTGCTGTTTCTCTGCCCTCGTGGCTCAGGGTTTGTGTGTTTGGCAGCTAATTAAAAGATCAAAAGTTCAAAACTGCCAGTTTCCCTATGAGAGAAAAGACCTGGTGATCTTTTTTAGTGCCAATTACAGCCTAAGAAATCTTATGGGACACTTCTGCTTTATTGCGTAGGGTTATTACGAGAGGCACACAGTACTCGTTTAATAGTGGGATACCTAAGGACTAATCCTTGATCTTCATCTTCTCTGTGTAAACTCACTTTTAATTCCTTGATAATCACATCCAACTGCATGATGACCTATGCCATCTATATACCAAAACCCCCAGATATTTATCTCTAGTCCAAACCTTGTCAAGCTTTATGTATCCATTTTAATATCAAATAGACCAGCAATACAACAATGTCAGTCTGGAGAAAAAGGTGCACCTGATCCAAGCCATGGTTTTTGTAATTACTTGTTACGCATCAGAGACCTGGACAGTGACTAAGGATGATAGAAGAATTGATGCCTTTGAGCTGTGGTGCTTGAAAAGAGTATTGAATATACCATGGACTGCTAGGAAAACAAACAAGTTCATCCTGGAAAGGGTAAAGCCAGGCTGCTCCTTGGAGGCAAGCATTCTGAAGCTTCATCTGGCATCTTTGGGCATGCTGCAAGATGGGACCAGTCCTTGGACAAGGATGTCGTGCTTGGGAGGGTGGAGGGACAGCACAAGAGAAGAAGACTCTCAAAGAGAAGGATTGATTCAGTAACTATGGTAATAAGAGTGGGTGTATCAGAAACAATAAAGTTGGCACAGGGTAAAGCAGGGTTCAGAGTTTTTGTACATACCATCATAAGCAAATTGACAGCACATGACACTATATCCAAAGCTGAATTTCTAATTTTCACATATCCTTACACCTCTGTACTAGGTTGTATAGTATACGTCACCCCACTTCACCTCATCCCCCCAAAAATAATTCATCCATCCATCCTGGAACCTGCGAACATGGTCTTATTTGTTAATAGGGTCATTTCAGATGTAATTAGTTAATATAAAGTTGTATTCGAGCAAGATGGCCCTTTAATCCAATATGACCATTTTCTTCATAAAAAGGAAAAGAGATACATGGACCCAGACAGAAGAAGAGTGTCAGTAAAGAAAGAGGCAGAGATTGGAGTTAAGCAACTACAAATCAGCAAATGCCTGGGATTTTGTGAAGCTGGATGAAACAAGGAAGCATCCTCCCTAGAATCTTCTGAAGGAGCGTGACCCTGCCAACACCATAATTCTCGGACTACTGGCTCCCAGAACCATAAGAGGATACATTTCTGTTGTTTTAAGTAAGCCAGTTTGTGGATGGTGCTTTGTTATGGCAGGCCTAGGACATTAAATAGCACACATGTGTAAATAACCCTGATCCAAGCCTCAGTGCTTTACCACACATAAAGGTTTATTTTTTTATGTCAGAATGCAAATGACTGTTAGCTCCTGCCCGTCCACACTAGCCAGCCTTTTTTTCCCACCATTCTTTAGGCCTCAGTGCCACTGCTCTGTTGTTTCCAAAGATGTAGAAAGAAAAAATGGAAATGGAATCTCTTCCAAGAGGTCTTGGAGGCCAGGCCTCCACTTGCCACACTTTGTCACCTGTCCCAGTGAACTCTGGAAGTTCTGGGAAATGTCAGAACACAGGGTTTCTGGGAGGAAGAAGGCAATATGGATATTGTCAGGTCATAGGAAGGCTGGCTTTTTGTTTTGTTTTCTTTTTCCTTTCTAAACTTTTTGTTTCTGGAATGTACTAACATCTTAAATTCTAATTGCATTGGCATTTAATCTGACCTGTGTTCTCTCTGATGTCATTCATTCAAGAAATGTTTATTAAGCACACAGCTTGTCAAGTACTGTAAGTACAAGCCCCTCACATTGTAACAAGGAGGCAAATGAGAATGTGGTATTTCAATGCAATGAAAAGTCCTATTAGTTACATGCCAGCTTTGGTGCAACCAAGGCAGATAAATCGTGCTCAGTTAGTCAGGGATGATTGGAGAGAAGGGTGGCATTTGACCTTGGTGAATAGGGTTCACTAGGCTAAGGAGTGAGTTTAATAGTGAAGACAGTGGGGCATATCAGGAAGAAGCAACATCCTTGAAGGCATGGGAGGGTGAAAGTACTCAACACCTTCGAGGAGCTTCAGGCATTGAAAAAGCAGCACAGAAGTTCATGATTGGCTGATAACCTAAAAGTAAGATGTTCAAATCCACCCATAGCATGATGGAAGTCCTATGTCTTCCATGTCCTGGGTGTACAGATCCATCCAACAAACCCTATGCAGCAGTTTTATTTAGTGATGCAAAGGATTACAGTGAGTTAGAAGTGACTTAAAGGCAATGGGGTCTTTGCAAGTCACTGAATGGAACTGATTTAACAGGCAACTTCACTCCCCACCTCCCACACTCAAGTAATGAACTTGTTTGGAAGAGACTAAAGTTAAATTGAAGGGATAAGACTGAGGTGAATTTGGAATATTTATGTTATATACCAAAAAATGGGAAGAGGAGGTATGGGACATTGTGGACTCAGAATCAAGGAGTCTTGGAGAGTGAACCAAAGAAGATTTGCTCATTTCTATTGAGAAGAAACCAACTCAGCTGACCCTCTAGCCTCACAAGGGAGGAGAATGCCCGTTTTTGGCTTAGCAATACAACTCCTAAGGACTAGACCATCAGAGCTCCCTAAAGAAGGATTGTTATGTACCATTGAGTGGGAACTGACTCGAACTTGACCCTCCAGAGCGTTTTCAGAAGCAGTAAATTGTATGGGAGAAGATTGTCCATCTTTCTGCCAGACAGTAGCTGGTGGATTCAGACCATGTACCTTTGGGTTGATAGCACAGCTCCTTACCACTAGGCCACCTCGCTACAAAATGCTGTACAGAAATGCTTTGGAGGAAAAGTTTGCGTTCTCCTCCATATTTTTCACAAGTTCCCTTCAACCAGCATAGGACTGAGAGTATACTGCCTTTAAAATCAGTGCAGGCCCTCACAAGTAAGCATCCCTGAAGACGTGCTCATTTTAACGAAAACCTCTTGGACCCCATGAAGCCATCATAGCAGAATGTTTTAAAAGCTTTACCGCTAGATGTTAATGTTTTTTCATTTATACAAAATAATTCAGAATTATAAGAAATGCCATGGCTATTAAAGCAGTAGCCAGAGAAGATGGAAGCATTTGAGTCACCAAGAATTTGCTGAGGAGGAAGAGGAAGACGTTCTTACTTGGCTGCATTTTGTCTGTGGGCCTGGAAATAGGATGTTGCAGAAGTTTTAAGAAAATTGCAAATGCACACACATGTTTATTGC